GGATATTTGGGAGTCTGCAAAGTCTGGGAGCCTTGGATTCTTTTGGAAGGACTATCTTCCGCATTCGATCAGGCAAAGAGGCCTGTTTTATTGAATTGATCCTTTCTATGGTTTCCGTGGGTTTGGTTAATGTTGTATAAGTGTGGTCGTCACGTGAATCTTGTGCTTTCCTTATGCATTTGTCCTTATGTACTTTCCTTTATCTGCAGGATCATTGTTTTAGGTCCACTAATGCCCACTTTTCAGCCTTGCTTAGACTGTATGTAGGAATTTTTGACGACTGTTGCATTTTGGAGTATCGGCTCCTGACTTCGTTCGCTTTTTCAGGTGAGAGGTTGCATATGGAGCTTTCCACTTGACTGATGATGTCTTTTTTCAGGACTTGCGCTTGTGTAATTACAAAGTTATGGCCTCTAGGTTGGAAGGACAAAGGAAGGCGAGTGAGGTTTTTGAATGTGTCCTTCAGTAATTCGGATTCACCTATCGGCTTCAACAAATTGTTCAATTTCTCCTTCTGTTTTTTAATACGGATAGTCTGCACCGTGACTGTGTACTCATTATTTATTCGATCCGTCGTGTTCCACAGTTGTACATAAGATTATCTAGGTCCGAAGATAGTTGGAGTGACTTCTCCGATATGTGAGGAATTTCCTTCTCAATAGTGGATGCAGGACGAGTTCCCTCCTTCTACTTTTTAATTGCTTAGCTCAGCAATTAAATTTCTCTGTGATTGGTAGGCAGTGAACCGGAACATAAAGTAATGAACTGGAACATGAGGACAGTATCAGTGTGTCATTCGAATCCTGATGAAGTGAGCTGCAATACTTACGAAACGTCGGAATATTTCTTCTTACAAGGCCACGACTTACACCCGGCTAAGCCTCAATAGTACCAACTGGCTAAATTCTGTAAACTTTTCTATTATTATAAAAATTCCCTTACACGTGACTTAAACAAAATTGAATTTGTTTCGATTAAACGAAAATATCAACTGATCAAACACACGACGTTCTTGTTACAGCGTAATTCTTTTAACATTACAAAAATTCAACGTTAGACTGAAGAAATCATGGCCCCATTTTTTTATCATATACTGATTGGTCCAAACAGATATGCAATAAATCTTCGGTAATAAAATACTACAATAGAAGGAAACATACCGCTAAAACTAATTGACCAACTGTTTATTTTTGTTGCACACGGTAACACGAGCAAGTACTTGAATCTGTCGCACATATTTCACAATCTATTGTTCCCGCGCCATAATGAGCTTTAATAAGTATGGTAATGATCATGCAAATTCCAAACTGTCTCTTCATTTTCGTTTTATCCTCGTACAAATACCCCTTGAATTTTGTTCGAACTAGGACAAACTGATTGTGGAATATTATACAGGTATAAAATGAACAACAAAATCAGAAAAAGAAGAAACGTATGAAATTCATGGAAGTTCAAATTACGTCTCGTGCATTATTATTGTAGAATTTTTATATAAGAATTTTCATACTTAAATATATTTACGAGCTTTTAAACGTTAACCCTCTACTATCGAGACACCGTTTTTGGGACGTAACCCCTCAACTTCCGGTTAGTTTATACATAAGTATAGAACATTTCTGACAACTTTTCTTACTGATTTACCTTTATCGCACATTTTCCTAATGAACGTTTTAGAATAGAGTGATTGGTTGGATTAATTTCATTTTAATATAACAACGTTGAGTTCTAAATAGAATGGAAGAAAACAAAAAAGGTAGAATCAGCGGGAGTCTCTGAGACTCCGCCTCGGCAGTAGAGGGTTAAGAAACTCGTAGTAAGTTACTGTCCAACTTGAAACCGATAATATTATAGAAGCAATCTTACTACGCTACAATTATCAGTCTTTCGAAGAGAAAGTTTAAGAATTTGCACATTTACTTAACCTCTTCAGGGATGATTTTTCTTTAAGTTAGCAAAAATTGATCTAATTTTCTTCGGAGATTTCCTTAGGAGAACTACTTTCCTTAGGAGATTTCGGGAGATTGTGTTTTTCATATTTTCTCTACGGCAAATATTGGAATTTTCGGAAAATTTAAAGGTACACATATGTCTCCGTATCCTTGAAGAGGTTAACATTTGCCCTTCAGAAATGTACTCCTCGCGTTTTCTCTAATATTTACTAAACGGAAGGATGAACGATTCGTGTAACAATTTATTCGAGTTTATTACCTTGTCATGTGTAACATGGATGCGTAATATTGACTCTGGTTGATTACTATGTTTGAGCATTGATAAGAAGAGTTTCCTTAAATTACACGAGTTCAAGTGTCGAGTGTCACGTTTGTTTCAGGGTCGAATATGGTTTTGAGGGGCGTAACTCTAAATTTCTCGTATGCAGTTTGTATCATAGCGATGTAGTGTTCTATTTGCAGGAGTTCAAATAGAACGCGCGTGTCAATTGTATCGGATATGTAACACTTACTTCGTTCTATATCGTAATTGAAAGTTTACAACGAAATCATCCTACTTCTCTTGGTTACTATTTAACACTAGAATTACCAGCCGAGTCAGAATGACATTACCGACATTCCAAAAGTGAATTTTTACGTAAGTAAACCATAATTGGAAAATTCGATTCATATCGATACAAATAGAAGCACACCTGTAGAAAATAAATTCGGAAAGTTACAAATGATAACACTTACCAGTGTTGAACATTCACGTTTTCTCGAAAGATGCTAATGGGTCATTTTGACCCGGTCGGTAATTCTAGTGTTGAGTAATCTGTAAGACAATCGAGGAAATATTACAAACGCCTTCAAGAAACTGTGTTTCCTTTAAATAATGATTATCTTATGTTACTATAAAATGTACCATAACGACATATTTCTTTTCAACGGTGTAGAAAATGCGTTAATTGATATCAAATTCTTCCTTTCCTATCTCTCTCGATATATATTACCCCTAAGAATCATTCTATAATTACTCAATTATGTTGCCACTAAATACTCTTATCGTATCGCTGACATCCACTTTTCAGAAATATATGCTTATTTAACCAACAAATTGTTCGTGTCAAGTATACAACAAAACGTACGATACGATGATAGCGAATTTTGTATTATGTATACGCATGTTCCCCTATGTAGTGCCCGTACGCCGTCATATCTGCGGCATTGACAATGTTACTTTGTCGGTAGTGTCATTAGGTGGTTTTGGAAAGTTCCGTCGGATTTCGTCGACTGAATTTAAGTAATCGTAACTCCGTCAAAGTTGACGTATTTATTCAAAATAAGAAGCATTTGATACACTAATTTATTTGTGTCAGCTACAAATCATAGGCAAATCATATTGTTAAAGGAAAATATAGAAATGGGCACGTGATTGTTTATGCAAGGGTTCAAGATTTAAGGCTTTCGGAGCATAATTGTTATCGAGGGTGTAGTATTCCATAAGGACACGACTTACACACGAAAGCCTCGATAATAATCACACAAGGGTTAATTACAGTGCAAAGTTAAACGACCTGGGACACGACGCCCTACAACGTCCACCCTATTCTCCGGGGCTTTCGTCAACAGATTATCATCTGTTCAAACATTTCGACCATTTTATCAAGGAGAAGGCTCTTCGAAATGGAACAAACCTTTCTGGACTTCGTTGACTTAAGACCTCGTAGTTCATTTTGTAGCTGGCATAAATAAGTTAGTGAAACTTCGACAAAGTTGTACCAATCGTAACGTTTCTTGGTTCGAATAAATATGTTAGCCGTTTGCAATCCAGTGGCGACTCAGAAGCGACAGTAAACAATTCTCATTCGTAGGGTAGTTTCGGGAGAGACGGACCAGGCAAGTATTTCCTACATTATCCGCCAGATATGGAAGAAAAAACACCGAGAGCCACGCTCGATCGCTTTCCGTAAAACAAATGTAAAACAAAAGAATACCGACGCGTTCCACATACGGCGGATAACGTAGGAAATACTTGGCCTGGTCCGTCTCTCCCGCCGGTCCATCATAAAGAATCAAGACAGTGAGCAGATCTATGGGCCTCCATAAACTTGTTCACCATACTGAAATAGAGAATATAACAAAGTCACCTCCGAGTGCAAAGGGTTAACTCCTAGCGGAGTTGTAATTACCTGAATTCGAACGGCGAAATCCGACAGAAGTTTCCGAATGATCTGACAATTCTGCGTAAAGGATGTCTGCAAATAATAGTGTTTCGGTAGGTTGCAGTGCTCGAATCACTTCACACCGATTGCCGGTTTAACGAGACCGCGCGGAAGCATAAAAAGGAAAACAGGGAGACACATATCACACGAAACATCTATTACATCGTAGAATAAGATATTATGGAGTAAATATCGATCGGACGTTCACGTATGAATCAAGGTTTAAGCAGAACCTTGCAGATCTATAATCCGCGCAATTGACATTGTACGATGAATTCGATCGCGCTCCCCGTTGCTCATGGTTGTTCATATCGGCGTTCGTTTCATCTGATCTGTCGATTCAAAGTGTTAACTCTCTTTAGATCTCTGTGATTGTTTGCTTCCGGTATCGCGCGATTTTCGATGTTACGACTTGAGATCTAGAACACGATTCAAACGTAACGCGTACACGATCAGATGTACGCGCGATCCAGCGTAATCCATATGCGAGTTTGTCCGAGTATCATGGGTGACAATCGATAACAACGTAACGCAGCCGAGAATTTCATTTCGATGTTGTTTACCGTCGCGCAATCAACAATTTTCTCTCGAGTTTGCGCTTTGTCCAATTGGTTTACTAACAGTGGTACCGTGGAGCATTACCGAGAAAAGTTTTTGCAATTGAAAATTCTCCTCCGTAATTCACATTTCGCGAGCCCTTCGTTTTGTGCTTTACGTTCGAAGTTACGCGATCCGACGTTGCATGTCGTGGATACCGAGGATTCGGACTGAAAAGGAAAGCTTGTCGTGATAAAAGAGAAGTTTCGGGATTAACATCGTATACAGCCTATACAGGATGTCGTTTCTCACGTTTTCATGTCCGTATGTTTGAAAAAGCGTGTTGTGTTCTCGTGAGTTTACCTTCGGTGCACGACTTTTGCTTTCGAATTGCACGAAGTAATGGGATGAGCATGTGGGATCAGACGAGGAGCTCCTTTAGGAAGTCCTCGGCAAGCAAGTCCTACAAATAATCGTCGACGCGGTCGTTTTCATCCGGTGGACTGGGCTCGCTGACGCTAAGTATGGGCAGGCCAAAATGTTGGACCTCGATGCTCGATTCGGGTGTACGCCTCGAGTAGTCGCAGCTCTTCGAATGCCGCTCGATCCCGGCACGTCGATGATAATGATGATAGCGGGCTAGACGAGCGTCGGTATCGCAAGATCGCCGATAACACCTGCGGATTTTAGTGAATACCTTCGCTTAGTTCATTAAACGACCCATCTGCGAGTCGCTCGAGGTGTTCACTCGAGGGATGATTGAAAAGTGCATCGTAGGGTAGGGTGGTGATATGAGATAGGGTAGAAATATGAGACACCGAGGTTTTCACCTGTACACAGTGCTGACATATTTCACAATGATTGGAAATGAAGTATTTACCACGAAGACTATAATAACACCCTTCATTGTCGGTTCTTTTGTTTAAGGGGGTCTTCTAGTGGGACGGCCGTTTTTTTAGACCTTTTTTGCTAATTTATTACAGAAGTACGGTAACAGTTATTAACACGTTAAGCGCCACGTCAATCACATGTGACTGACACTATACTTTCCGTTCGGGCCGCGTCAGTCACCGGCGACTGACAGTGTACTTTTCGTTCGAGCCGAGTCAGTCACTGTTGACTGACGATGTACAATTTAAAAAATTATATTCTTCTATTAATAAATTTTAAATAATTTGGAGATCATAAAAGAATGGTACCTAAATATTACTTGTTACAAAAAAAAAATTTTAATCAGTATTATTAAAACACATGCAGTCTTATCGCAACCTTACTAAATCTGCCAATGGATCATTGCACCAGAGACATCCACACCAGGACCAAGGATCACGTATTAACCCCTTGAACTGCGATTTATTTTCAGGCAGCACTGCTCAGGCGGACAATTTAATTCTCTTAGTTTTAAGAGGAGGGATATAGAAACTTACGGTTTTGTTGCTCGAATAATTTGTTATTAGTAAAAATAATATTTGTTTCGTACATTTACATGAATGTCTGTTGTTAGACCGAGGCGAGCTCACGTAAATGCGTAAGATTCAACACCTCCGAAAAAATATGACTTCTATAGACGGATATCACTAGTAAAATAACCGCTATTGCACTTCATTAGTATGTCGTGTCGTGCATTTACTTTACTGGCTGCATAGATTTACACAAGTTACATTCAAACTCTTGCTAAAAGCATGCAAACAAATGTATCGTTACGACTTACATATACTTCTCATATAGAAAGCTCCAACTCTCAATAATTTCTGGCGAGTGGAGCTCGTCGTTGTCAGTTTGCTCAAGAAAGTTCACGGACTCGTCATTTCAGTTCAAGGGGTTAAGGAATTAATCAAACATCTCGTTGCAGGATACTCAGTGGAAGAACACTCAAACAGGCCAACAATCTAGTCAGGGACACCGTCACATTCAAACCTCATCTTCTACCTCACATATGGCCAACCCCCCGGCTCTAATCTATCTCAGCGAAGTTTGTCTTCAATCCTCACGTTAAATTGTTACGTCCTTCGTTATATTATAAAATTTATGTAGAGCTTTACACCAAAGCGTTATATTATAAATAAATGAAATATGAAGTAGCAACTTGTTCTAATTCGTTTAACCCATTTGCATCACAGCTCTGAATAGGCTACTAGCGTTATTCATCTTAATAATATTCAATTAAACAATCCAAAGTGCCTAACTCCACGAAATAGAATTAATTAAATTTTTCTTACTTATGAAGGATTAAGCTTTCATCCTAAAATTGGAAGAATATCAAAAAGAGGAGTTAGTCATTTTGGCTTCTGAGTGGCACAATTATCTAGCAGTGCTATCAAGGTGACGATACACCAGTAAAAATATACGCGCTGCTTGCACTGCAAGATTCCAAACTAATATTTTCAGGATCATAATAATTTTGTAACGACCGTTCCGATTTCATTCACGCTCGTTAAATGTCCCAATAGTTATAAACGAGAAGGTACATACACTACCGGCCAAAAGTTTCGAATCCGCTGCTAATTTTTTATAGATTTGTATTTTACCTTATTTCGATTGATTTGAACGAGGAAAAACTGGTTAAAGTATTCTTAAAATTGCTAACTTTATCCCGGAAATTTTCGTATAACTTGCGATGCACAGTGATCCCAAACATTTGGCCGGTAGTGTATATCGAAGCTCGAAACTGAACCGAGAGCTAGAATTTCGTTGGCACATTTCGAGAACGGAACTAATATCGCTCTGATAGGTAGACACGTAGTGAAACGAGGTTTCTCGTCGTTTTTCTGAAATTGCACTCTTTATCGAAACCAGTTGTCACACTAGATAGCGAGTCCGTACCGGTTATATTTTAATGTGGCCTTGAATATTCGTTTGGCATGTGACCAAGTTTCGAGGGTGGCCTTTAAGGGGATAGGTATTTGAGACAGGACGAAGCGACGTCAACTGCGATGTATATGTATATTTATCGCTGGGTGATGAGGGAGATACCGACCGACATTGAAGGTAAAAATATCGTCAGTTTTGTCTGCATTCGTATAAAGGTGCATCTTATAGGCAGTGGTTCTCGCGGTATAACTAAATGTCAGCTTTAGCATAGAGTGTAGAGAAAAGTTATTTTTCATCCTTAACCCTTCGACGGTTTACCCCGTGTGAGATTCGGTCAGAGCGTGAAATATCCAACTGTTTAACTCAAGAGAGACTCTTAGGAAGAAAGTTAGAAAGGGACGAGATATTATTATCGTAATTATGACGTAGGGCAGAGCTGCTTAACTTTTTGCTCACGAGCAAATTTCCCCTCCGGAGGTCCCAGCACTATGCGACCAAGATGATCTCGCTCGGACGCGAGGAGTCCTCCCACCGCAACTCCGGAATTTTAACCCCGACTTATTGGTTGTAACCAATCAGGAAAAAGAAGAGGGTGAGAAAGAAGCTCGCGAGGTGACTGAGAGTCAGAGTCAGCCAAGCGGTCGGTAATTGATTGAGCCAGATAATTAATAAAGACTTAAAAGAACTTACTGTGTGGGTACTAAGTAACCCAGATACACGCACTATCCTCCTATCCTTAAATACCTCTTACAAAACATAACGCAATTTCCATATGTGAAAATGCATACACAATTGGAAGTAGGTAATCTATTTTCAAAAATCGAATCTGTAGAAGACGTACCCTAGCGGACAAACCTTATGCAGCAACGTAATAATTAATGTTAATCGTTTCTAACAGTTGACATTTTGTACACACTTCTAGGATAACCCATTAAGAGAAAAGAAACAGTTTAAAGTTAACAGAGTATATAACATCCGCTTGTTACATATAATATTTTCATTAGTACGGTATTTATACATTTTTTTTTTTTAATTTATTACCATTACATACGCGTACGATTGGCACAGTTTGGCCTGTTTAGCGCGCTCGAATTAACTCGAGCGTGCAAGTTAAGGGGTTAAAGAAGTCTGAATTTATTATACTACGTGTAACTGAATTGTTCTGAAGAGTTTATATTCTTTGATAATCATTTTGTCTGGACGATTTTTTGATCGAAGCCCCAGCTACTCTACTCGAGCGAAATACTCTTCGTATTTGGAGCAGAATACAAAAGACATTCCTTACCGTTCATCCATGGAAGCAGGTTGTCGTACAGGACACCGAACATATTCGTGACTTCCGCTGGCGCGCCATCCCCCGAAACGTCGACTAACGAACGACGATGAAGACGTCACCGGGGAATCCCTGGAATATCGATAGCTATTTGCTTCAATTCACTTGAGACTTTCTGCCTTTTACCGGTAAGTACTACGACCGATATACAGGTTGGTCCACCTAACGTGACCACCTTAATTATTTTTATTATCGAGTAGACCGCTAGAAATTCTTTTGGTCACAGAGGAAACGGTTTCGAAGGATCTCCAAGATAGTGTCCTTAAATATTTTCAAGCTCACGTTTGATGTTTTCATGTATAAATTTTATATGTAAAAGAAGTATTACAGTGGAGCACACATAAGCGTCCGCAGTCGGGACGCTTAAGTGGGGAGGTGACTTCTGCGAATTTAACTAAACAAAAGAGAGGAGATGTGCCTCAAGTGCCAGTTGTTCACATTCAGGAGTCGATATCGAATTGCTTTGTTTCACTCGGCACGCTCGAACTGCACTCCGAAGTCCCATTTCCAAGAATTAGCGACGGACGCTTAAGTGTGCAAAAATGCGGACGCTTATGTGTGGACTACTGTATATTGTGGTCGTTAAATTCGTTTCAATACCTGCTAGCTAATAGGCAAAAAAACTATAGGGGCTATAGGTAAAAAAATTGAACGTGGTCTTGAAAACTTATTTTAAAAAGAGACAGAAAAAATCTAAGTTGGTCACTTTGAAATCGTATCATGTGTGCCAAAAAACAATTTCGATTGATTCACTAATAACGAAAACAATTGAGGTGATCACGTTAAGTGGTCCACCCTCTATACAGGGTGAGTCATCTAACTTTATCACCTGAAATATTTGTTATATAATTAAAATTTGATTACAATGTTTTCTAGAAAAGTTGCAGTTTTATGTGGGCTTGGGAAGGGTTAATGAGGTCAGAAGGTCAATTTTGTTTTTTTTTTTTACATGGAACGCTTATGTGTATTCGATTTGTCTATACACTTCAAAGACGAATATGTTGATAAACAAGTAAAGCATTCTTAAAAGTTGAAAATGAAACAGAAAATTTTAATTATACAAGTTTTTTTTATAAAATTTAGCGTTACATTTGAAAAAAACAAACAAAGCTGACTTTATCTTCCTAACCCTTCAAAATAGAATAAAACTGTTGTTACCGTACGCTGGCTTCTGCAAAATTATGCAACTCTTATAGAAAACATTTTTCTGCAATTTTAATTACAGCAGAAATATATCAGGCGATGAAGGTAGTTGCGACACCCTGTATACTGTACTGAAATGAACTCGGAACAGTGGTAATGTCATTCATTAACTTTTTCCCCTGTACTCTTATCTCAAGTTCAACCTCGATTTCCCACGAGTGGCACAGTAATTATCTATACATATAACTTTTAACTCGCCAGCGGGCGCATATGTGTACCTACTAACTGCGCGCAGGTCAGTTCATGGTAAAAAAGAAAGGTATTTTACTGTAATACGCCTTATCTAATATCCTTATATACTCTTTCCAACGAACACGTTTCCTTCCTCTTATACGAGGTCTACGTGTATGTGGAAGTATGCGCCATTTGAAATTATTAACAAGCGATAAAAGATATGAAAAAGGACGCTGGAAGGTTTTCGTTATATTTTCTCTGTAAAATTTTCTGCAAGCGGAAACGAATTTTCAACTTTCGTTAAGTCATATTGAAGTCACTGTGCATTGTACCATCTTGAAATGACTGACTTTGAAATTGATTTTAAAGAAGAAAAAGCTATTTTTAGAAACAATTTTTGATATATTAAAAGTTCACTTATCCTGCACGACAACTTAATCTTACTTTTATTTTTTATTTTCGGAAATAATTGGCCATACAAAGGATATTCGCCCACTTCTGGGAGAAAATTTAAAGGGTGATCCTAGAAGCCGAAATAAGACGGAAATACAGAATAAAAAAATTTCGTTTGAAGCTTGCTTTTTTAGTTATTAACGTTTAAAGATATCCCCGTAACCGAGCAACCCTCCCTACACCAACGAATATAGGGCATGTCAAGACACAGGCGGTATACTGATCCTCAAGGCACTTTACTTCGTGCGTTAACTTGTGTGTAAATCACAAAATAGGGATAAATCAGAATTATGGTTTCGCGCAAATCGAAAAGAATAATTGGACTAGAAGTTTGTTTATGTATATTGTGCTAGGGCATAGTCAATGGCATAAATATGATTACGGAAGAGATTATAAATTTTTCCGAATTTTCCAATTATATCATGCTTTTTCTTATCGTTTTTTGAATGAACAAAATTAACAAAATTAAGTATGAAAATCCGTGCAATATATGAGCCACTCAAAGTGACTAATTCCATCAAATTAAATTTATTAAGTTTTCTTTTAATTTATGAAAAGTTAAGCACCAAGCATGTGCTTTGATACCAAAATTGGAAGAATTTCGAAAAGTGGATTTAATCGTTTTGTCTTCTGAGTGGCTTACAGCTGGACGAATTCGCAAAGAAACAAATGCACTGAGCGAAAGTTGTTCCAAACGTTTAACAGATTCAACCTGGTGTTTTTCTCGTTTATAAAAATATCAGCAATAAAAGATCTTCAATTACCAAACACAGCAGCTTAGCTTTACAAAAATGTGCAAGGACGTATACAGTAATGTAATAATGGATACATTATAAAATACTTGCTTTACATAAAACACACACGGAATGCTAATTATGCATATTTGTGTCGTCCAATTAAGGAACAACGTTTGCATAAATTTTATTTTAATTAAAATGTTTTTATGCATTTATGCAAGTAAATTTAAATTCTAAATTTAAGTAAATAGTATTAAGTATTTCTCGTAAATATCAGTTTCACGTGAAAAACTCGGAATCTTTCAGTTAAACAGGATACGTATGTATACAGGGTGTCCAATCTAACTTGAGCATCTTAAATATCTCGTTTATTTTTCACGATAGGAAAATATGTTAAAGGTAAACAATATTTGGTTCGAAGATGCAAATATTATGATAGGCAAAAGATTGATCTCAGGGACATTTTTTTCGAGATTTCATGGTCATCAAAGTTTCTTTAAATGGGATTTATATTTTCACGCTGACAAAGTTTAATCGGAAAAAACTGGGACACCCTACATATTATGCATATACAAGTATTTCGGAATGAATGTAAAAGGAACGTAGATTATTTAAGGGATCATTCTGACAATGAGTGACAAATGTTGCAGATCCTATTCTCAATACTCACGTCATTGAAACAATTCGAAATTTTATCGTTATCATGGTAAAATCACAGATTTCAGACGAAGTGACCTTTAACCTTTTGCCTTACAATTTTTCATCTCGTTGCGCGAACCAGAATTGTCTATTTAATTTGTGCAATGGGACAACCCACGCCAGCACTCGTCAAGCAAGCACTGTGCATTCTACATGTAAATCTATGCCTATTAATCAGTTTCAGTATGCGTACGCATATCGTTAAAAAACAAGTCACGATCATGTTTTTTTCAATTTTGGTTGCAGACCAAAATTGTTCGAGTTTTACTTGTTATTGTAAGGCACCTGGTTAAACAAGTGAAATAGAACGTAACAATACGAAATATCGTGGGTGTACTGGTAAAGCACTAATTGTAAATAAAAAAATGTTCGTTTTTATTTTATTTGTTACGAATTTATTAATAATTGATTATTTTATTATTTATTAATAATTTACTTTTCATCTTTACGTACTAGTTATGATACTGAATTATTTATTCCAGATCTATGTCATGTAAAGCAAAAATTTTCAATTAAATTTCCAAAAAATAATACACATTGGCTTTAGAGTGTTTTATCAGTGAACCAACGATATCGCGCATTTGTAGGTTTCTTTTTTAGTAAATGTGCAAAATATGCTTCTTGAGATATACAGGGTGTCCCACGCAACTGGGTGGAGCTATATTTTTAACACGGTTAAACGTAGGTGAAGGACGTTGTATGGTGAAATTAGATGGTTATACCACTTTATACATTTTTGTGCATCGCTACAGTTGCAAAATGTGCAAGTATACCTCTCTTTTTTGAAATGGTACCTTGTACTACCTTAGTATCGGAGGTCCCTATATTTCACGTGTACCAACCGTAACTGTACTACAATCTGTGCAATGTTCACTACACTGGTATTAACCCTACTGCGTTCTTCATTTGACTGTACACTTAAGACTTTTGGGTGAAAAAGGACCTAAGACCTGATGTGAAACAATTTTTCTTTCCAACGCGACATATGAACCTAGACAATAAACGTTTAAAATAACGTTAAGGAACGTAAACTTGATAACAGCAAAAATGACTAAAAATATAAAAAGGCGGTGGGTCAGAAAAGACCCGAAGACCGCTCTAGGGTGAAGAACACTGAAGCAGCAGAGGTAACACCAGTCAAAACCGAAACTATACCACCGCTCTAACAAACATGGTCTTAGGACGCAACAAGTTCATTGTTTTTTCTTGAAAATCAGAAATGTACTTTGCTACTGCACCAATGCACGAATGTAACGCAAAAATGAAGAATGTAGAACAATCATCTAGTTTTACCTTACGAAATTTGTTTCTTTATTTATTTACTTATCATTCATTCATCCTTTTCGTCTACTGTCTTGCCTGCTTATACGTTATTTTTTATTTCCGATTTGGCGTGTATCATGCATTCGTTTAATTTTCTATATCTGCGATGCAACTTTCTCCTTATTTTCTCCCACAACCTTAGCGGAACACGATCCTCGATCCTCATATAACACGCGAACAATACGTAATACTCATTACGTTGCAACAGGATCCTACTAATTTATTATGACAAAAAGAATTACATGATCGAGTCTTCCAGTGAATTACGTGATAATCATTTACATAAACGTGTTATCTGCTGTCTAAAACATCTGAACGTAAGTAATTCTTCAATCATGTTTCTTGAAAGACAGAAATAGCGCTGTTAGTTTCAAATAAATCAAATTGAAGCTTCATAGAGCTATGTTTAGCGAAGAGACATTTTTTTCCTTATTACGAAACAACGATAATCTCCACGTTATACGCGTTCACGGATTACACGAG